GAAACAATGACTTCCGTGGCCACTGAAAAACAGTGGTCATATAACTGATAAAGAATATAGACTATTTGTTGTCCAAAAGATTATGGATTAATATGAATTTTTACATGTATAAATGTCTATGAAAAAGAATTTTAGGGCCATGTCCTGAAGATTCGATGACCTTAGAAAATATGGAGTATATTTTTAATTTTTTATTAAAAATGTATAATATACGGAGTATATATTAAAAATTTAAGACCCCAAAACATGGGCTTTGGCTAGTAGGGCTGTATGGGACCTTGGCCAACCCTTAGGCCGATCTTGTAAAATCTCACAAAGGTGTAGTCGGGAGGGTTGTGTATCCGATGATCTTACCTTTCCTCGAAAATAGAAAAGCAATTTTCAAAAGATCCTAGCTCGAGTTAGACATGAAGTATAGAACACTCAGAAAGAAGCATGAAATCATTAAGCAACGAAAGCTACCACTATACTATCCATCTATCACTTCTGTAAAATAAAAGACTTAATTAATATGTGCACACTGTACAATTATTCGTATTCATAATTGTACACTGTACTATTGTACAATAATGAGAAATATAAATCCTCTTTTTGTATTAATAATGGTTTTTTAAATTATTTGTATTAACAAGATTTAATTTTGGTATCTTTAATAATTTATACGGAGTATATTTTTACTAATTTTAATCGATCTCATGTCTAATTTTTGTGTAATCATTTCTATTGAGTTTTAAAAAGAGGAATGTGTGAATCAAAAATAAAAATTATACGGAATTTACAAATTTGTTATTGATTAGTCTTAGTTTGGTGGATAATTTTAAAATTTTAAATGTAAAGATTTATTTTAAGAACACCATTATTAGATAATCTTTAAAAATACTAAATTTAAACGCTAAAATTGTTGCTTGCCGAGTAGACCATTACTCAAACCTAAGTAATCCAAGATAGAATTCAAAATGGTCCAAAAAATAAATACTTGATCTATAACCAAAATCCAAGTTCCAAAACTGAAACAAATTGAATCGAACTCAAATTTAACACAAAATTAGAATCAAGTTAAACTCGTACTCTAATAAAATCGAAATGAAATGGTCGAAGATGGTCACAGAGTGTAATATACATATCCAAATAAACCCAAATCGATCAAATTCGAATTAGAACCAAACTGATTAACCCATTACCATATTTATAATCAATATATAACTTTGTATACAAACACACAAACTTAGTGCCATTTTTCACTTACAAATAAGCTAAACAAACATTGTCATATTGGACAAAGTGGTAGGCATCCCATTTTGAGAAAGTGAGGGTGGTTGTTTACAGGGTTTGCTGTGTAAATTGAATCTATTTTCACTTTATATATATATATATATATATATATATATATATATATATATATATATATATATATATATATATATATATATATATATATATATAGTAATTCTAAAAAAGCAGTATTGCACTATTGCCTAAAAAGCTCTTAATATATACGGAGTATTATGAAATGAACAATTTCCACTTTTTTTTTTTTGGAAATTGGCCAAACTCCTAGAGTGTTTTCTTATGCTTTTAAGGTATAATTTCAGTTTTATTTTTAGGAACAACCGAATAATAAAGTCAAACCTTATTTCATTAACATTCCCATATTTCGGATTAATAGAAAGTGATATGCATATATACATGCATGCTTGTCTTTTTTTGGAAGTCTCTAATTAACATTTTCATTTTCTTTAAAAAAAATATTTTATGTATGGTTCACATTCATATATTCTTCTTCTTTTGCAAATTAAAATTCCAACCACACAATTTCATGTTTTTAAGACTCTGGTTAAAGTTAAAATAAGAAGATTAATTATTTAGGGACAAATTGAGTAGTAAAATTAAAATATTTTTTGAAGTTGTTTAAAGGCTCCAATCGTTAATGGCTTAATGCAAATTACTTCTCCCTAAAACAAACTCATTGGTTGTTATCTCTAGCTCTAAGAGATACTTAAAAATTGTTCAAAATATTAATTTTTAGGCATATTGAATTAAAAATAACTTTAATTTTATGTCATAAACCAAAACAAAGACATTTTCAAGTCACACTTTTATTAAGCTTTATGATTACAGTCCAGGTGTAATAGTGCATTGGCCTTTTTTTAAGAGCAATGCTAGGTTCACAAACAGGATACTCACAAACTTCACAAACTTACTATTTATGGATTAAATTTTCATTTTAAAATTATTTTAGACTATTTAATTTTATTTATTGAAGTTCACAAATAGTAAGTTTGTGAAATTTGTGATTATTTTGTTTGTGAACCAAGCATTTCCCTTTTTAAATACGGAGCATATATAATACTTCCTCCGTCCTAAAATAACTTTTCAGTTTAATTTTCGTGGTCAAATATAATTTCTTAAACCTTGACCACATATTATGGAAAAAATATAGTAAATTTTCATATAAATTAAATATCATAAGATTCAATTTAAAACATAGTTTTAAAATAGTTTTTTTATTTTATACTCCGGTATATATATATATATATATATATATATATATATATATATATATATATAATGGAGATTATGAAAAGTGATAAATAAATAATGATATAAAAATTTAATACATCAAAATTGTGAAGTACTTTTTAAAATCAACCTATTCTATTAAATTAAAATTATACGGAGTAACTAAATACTCCCATTCAAATTAAACTCTATATACTCACTGCGTCCCAAAATGTTTGCCATATTTCTTTTTCAACAATCACGGTACATTTTTATTGATTATTTGATAAAATAAAATGTTCTTCACATCTCTTATTTCAAAGATTCTTTAATGTAGTTTTCAAATATGTAAAGTTTATTTTTTATTTCTATATCAATATTTAATTAAAAATTCATTTAAAAAACTTGATATTTTGCCTTATTGTTTGAAATGTGGTAAACATTTATGGACAGATGAGTATGACTTTTGAGAAATATTAAAAGTTAAATGAATAATGATGTACATCATGTATAAATTCATTCAATTTTGACATATCACAAATGTTATAATGATCAGTTAATTGTAAATAGATGAAATATGATTTGTTTACAATTTCTAGTCAAAATGAATTAAAAATTAATGTAAGACACAAAATTTGGGATTGACTCTTGTAAGGGACATTTTCGATTAGCGTTAGTGTTTGAGATCAAATTTTAATGATATGGAGTAGATTATTTCTAAAAACGCTAACACTAAAGACTATCGTTAGATTATATTCTGAAAACGTTAACGCTATACCTTAATTCCGAAACAATGCAGGGACAAATTATTGGATGAACATTAGCCATTGGATGATGTGGAACAACTAGTACGGATAAGGAACGTACGGCGTCCGTCGTTTGTGTTGTGGCACTCAAAACATGTCTAAACAAATGTTAGAAGGTAAGCTAGTTTGAGAGTTGGTAAAAATTAATGTACCAACCATACCTTTTAATTTATCTATTTCAAGAAAAGATTCCACAATCAAATTGACACATTTAGAATTTTTTTAGTTTTATTTTCTTCAATCAATTATTCTCAAAATTTGATATATAATTAGATAAATTATATATTACTTCGGTATTTATTAAATACATAGAATAATAAATAAGGTGTATGATCTATGCAAATGCATACATGCATGATTCATAATAATAATAACAATATTATTATTTAGTCTTACTAATTCATCTCCAATATCATTGTGTTTTATGATATTTGACTAAAGTTATTTGTGATTTAATTTATTAAAAAATTGATGTGTAATTTAAATATAAAATTATATATTTAAAAACTATTGCGTTATAAAATATACGAAACTAGAGATGATGTGAATATATTTTCTTATCAAATAGATAATGAAAATAGGCAATCAAAGTAAATGAAACTCAATTTAATGAATAGTGCATGGAAGGATAATCTTCATGATGAAGGGAATATCAATTTGTAAATAAAATATTTCTTTAAATACACAAACTTTACACATGCTTCTAAACTTATACTCCCTTCATTATACAATAAATGTCTATTATGTTTTATTTTATACATTAGATTTTGAATTAATTTAGACACATTAAAGTTTATATTTATTTAAAATCTAATATATCTAATAATGTTTAATAGATACTTATTTTAGATTAGAATAGAAAGAGTAATTAATTATGAGATGAAGAAAGTATGGTACTCCCTCTGCCCCTTCAGATTTTGGTCGTGTTACGATGTTTGACTAGAGTTTTTTAAATTTGTTATATATGAAAGTTGGTGTGTAATTAAAAAATAAAAGTTATATATATTTAAAACCCATATCAAAGTATTTTAAAAACTAGAGATGATCTGATTATATGATTTTGCCAAATTAGTAACGAAAATAAGTAAACAAAGTAGATAAAATTTAATCTTGTAAATAGTGCATTGAGAGAACTTGAAGAGACGGAGGCAGTAATATATATACGGTATACGCTATACATAAGGTGATAAGGAATAAGAAAAATCTAGGAGTATCCCAAGCTCGTGTACCCCAGGAGTACACCAACTTGTCTGTGAGAAGCATGTACATTTAAGGTATACCAACTTGGGGTACCCCTAGCAATTTGGCAGCCTATGTCTTGGTCTCCACTCTCAACTCTACTTTTTACTCTCAGTCTCAAAATAGTTGTTACAATTATGCATAATGAAGAATCATTTTTTTAACTTATTTTATTTAAATATGTGTTGGTCTCGACTCTCAACTTGATATAGAGGGAGTATATAATATTATTTTTAATTCTACCTTAAACTTTAGGTAGTTTAGAGTTAACAATTTAGATAATCTTTTAATGATATAGATTAACTTTAAAAACGGGCTAAATGCTGAAGTTAAAGCTATATGTGGAAGTTGTTGCTAAACGGGCATGAATTTAAGTCTAATATTGTACTCTGTAATACCGATCATATATTTCCGATAAGGTGAAACTTAATACCAGATAAAAACAAGAGACAATATGGACCACGAACATGTTTATTTCAACTTTATATTCTAATTACGGAGTATAATTTATAAACATGCCATATATGTACAACATATTTCGGTATCACTTGTTAAAAATAGTGCCCGTTTGGCAACAACTTATGCGTTTTGAAAATACTATCCAATGACAACATTTTATAATCGCACAATTAAGTTGAAAACGTTGTTCCCAAACAAGACCTATACTTAGACATGCAGAGGCGGGGATGAACTGGTGGATTTGAAGCCTTTGAAACAATCAACAATGGCGTTTCTACTTACCAGCCCGGAGTTGAAAGCAAGGGGAAGACCTTCTCTCACATGCTCATCATATATCTCTAATGCAGAAACTATGTCGACGAAATCAGGCCGCTTTGACGGGCTTGCTGCCCAGCAGCGCCTTATTAGGTGCGCCAGTGCCGCTGGTTGGAAACTAGCAGGTAACGGCGGTCTCTCATTCTGCAAGATTATCTATTAGAAAAGGACAAGAAAACGCCCAATATTGTAACAAAACACAGCCATTATCCTCAAAATAGGAGTGACATGTTTTAATTCTAAAATAGGAGTTTGCAGTGTAATAGTGTAGCCGACATTATTGGTATTGTAACGCTTGTTTCGATACTTTCTCTATATTTTTACTCCTAGTTTACTCTTTTTCCGTTAGAAAACATATTTTAACACAATAACTAGCTCCATGATGTCTCAATTAAGGAATTACACCAACCATAAGTTCAATCTTGTGGTTGTTGGCCTATAAAAGAATTTATAACCTACTATGTACCCTTAAGTGCGCGCGGGCAAGGTTTGTTTTTTACTCTAGCATTACACATGAGCAAAAAAAAATATTAAACGGCGTGACGTTGAAGTTCAAACTCATGATCTTTAATTATGCCGGCAAGATTTTGATACCATGTCAAGAAACCAAGTCAACCACAAGTTCGAGTTTGTGTTTGTAAGCCTAGAAAAGTTTATATCCTAGCTAAGGCTCTAACGCTTGGAGGTCCAAACAATGAAACCAATGAATCTAACCTTATGAGAAACAGCAAAGGCAGCTTGCACAGGAGTCATTCCTTGGAAAGGCAACAAAGAAGTGGCGATTTCCCACAGCACAATGCCAAAGCTGTAAACATCAACTTTGCGCGTGCACGGCTTCCCCTTGATCATCTCTGGAGCCATCCACCGAAAAGTCCCCATACTCCCTTTTGCCCCGCGGCACTGCGTTTCAAGACAAGAGGTCCCAAAATCTGCAATTTTGACGCGCATTTCGTCGTCGAGGAGCAAGTTGCTTGACTTTAGGTCTCTGTGAATCACGCCCTTCGAATGGAGGTACGCCATTCCATGGGATACATCAAGAGCTAACCTCAGGACTGTTCCTATTGGAAGTGAGTATGGTTCTTTCCTGTTCAAATACATCCTCAGTGTTCCTTGTGGCATGTACTCTGTGATTATGCAGTACACAGGAGGCTTTTTACATGCAGCAATGAACTGTCCATAAATGCAATAACTCAATGCAATGAACTTTTTAGGCCAATCTATGTTTAACACAAAAACATCATTTTCTTTTCTAACCTGCACAATGTTGGGATGGTAGAGGGAGGAAAGAAGGGAAACTTCAGAGATGAATTGTTGTTCAAGACAGGCTCTAGTCGTCTCCTTCCCCAACCCATGATGATGATGACTGGGAACTCTCACCATCTTCACAGCCACAGCTCTCTGCTTATAAACTCCTCTGTAAATCCTACTAAGCGCACCCGAAGCGAACTTGTTCCCTATAAACAGCTGAGAAAGATCCGCCGCCCATTCCTCCTTCAAACCCTCCCCTGTTTCTTCAACATCATCTGATTCAAGAAACACATCTTCCCATGATTCCAAGCTGTCAAATCTCCTCTCCTCTTCCGTTTCTGAATGCGGGTTCGGAACCAGTGATTTGATCTTCCACCTTCTCGCTCGGAATGGACGGAAACAACAACTGACCGGCGCCATGTAGTTCTTTGGGTAATTTCGTCGAACACATTCCGGGCAACTCTGAGAAGGCGTCAGAAACACGCGACGGAAAGACGAGACTTTGATTTCAAGAAACGGAATCACAAATAGCTGTGGGCACGAATCGGAAGAGGCTGATGAGATTGAGATCGAATTCCTCCATTGTGGGTAATATGTAGAAACCGAAGAAACTTAGCTGGATCATTTCATGATGAAGAAGACGAGAAAGCACAGTATATTGTTTACATTATTACATCGTGATGCTCATCGTTCTGGCGGTTTGTTTTTGGTGAGAAAGATGAATTCGAAGCAGAGATTTTAGGCTGATGCGCCATTTCTCTGGGTTTTATATTCCAATTCTTCCAAAACTTTTCTTCAAGTCGTTAATTTCTTTATTTTTAAACGGTAATAATTCTTCCAAAACTTTTCTTCCAAAACTTTTCTTTATTTTAGTCTTCTACATATATTTTCTACTTATCAAAGGTCTGGTTTAGAATTGCATTTTCGCTTAACATTAAAATTTTAGATAAAATTTTAATGGTGCAGATTTATTTTAAAAATACAAACAATAAATGTGGATTATAGATGGTATTTTCAAAACGATAACGCTAACCTCTAGCGTTATTTCCAAAAAGACACAAATATCTGTGACTCTTGGACCACAAAATATTTGGCTAATATCTTTATTTATACAGTATACAAGTACCGAATATATATTATAAAAAATAAAATATTTCAAAATGAATATATTAATATTTAAATTTATATGATAATTCAATGCATCTTTTTATACTGCCCTTGTTTCTAATTGGTTTACATTTTACGCGAAACAAAATTTTAATTTTTTTGATTTTTTTTATTTTAAAATTAGTATATAAATTAAAAATAAAACTTACATATTTAAAAACTACATAAAAAATTTTATAAAAAAGTGGTGACAAAATTTTTTATTTTACCAAAAAGTTAATCAAAGCGCACAAATAAACAAAAAATTATGTGATTTTTGAATAGTGAAGTGTAATTTTTTAATGTCAAAATTTAAAATATTTAACCAAAAAAATCAAATTGCGGAAAAAAATTTGAATGGAAGGTATACTTATTTATTTATTCCGTATGCATTCATTTGTTTTGTTGTAATAAATTAGCTATGTTAGACTTTAGGTGGATAATAGGAATCATAAAAAATGTTATAATAGACCTAAAACATAGAAAAATTTTAAATATCTTCATATTTTTATCTTAAAATAGGATGTATAATATGTATAAAAGTATTAACTTTAAATATTTTTATCTTTAAAAATATTATCTTTAAATAAATATTATCTTTAAATAGCTACCTTCATATTTTTATCTTTAAAAATTATTCATATTTTTAATATGAATAATATAAGAAAACTGTATAAAAGTGAATATAGAATGCTATCATATAGTATCATACCATATTGTAACAATCCTATTTCGTGATAAAAAACTATTATTTTAATTATGAAAATAAAGACTACGTTTTACTCTAATTTTGAATGATTCATTTAATTGAAATATTTCCAAACAAATTAATTTGGTGTAGTATGTAGAAGAAGAAAGAAAAGGTTGGAGCTAATTGAATGCCAAAAATTCCTTTTCTTTGTGTCACGCGAAGCAATTAGATGGCAAATCATCATCATCGTCGTCCATTGCTTTACTTGAGGTATTTTTCTATTCCTTTAATCAAAGTTTAACCACCCAGTTTTTGTCTTTTATTTTAATTTTTATTAAAATATAGAAAACAGTAAAAAATTATTTGTCAAAAAAATAAAAAAGGGAAAAAAATAAATAAAAAAATAGGAAATGAACAGAATATGAGAACAAAATGAGCTTTTTTGTAAAAAAAAGAATTTATTATTGATTTTTGTATCACGGAAATGAACCAATAAAAATCTCTATTAGATAAAAAATCTTTAACTTGAAGTGTATGTTAACTCTTTTTTATTAAATTGATCTTTTATTATAAACACAAAAATTTGATTGTTACGGAGTAAAACATTATAAAAATAATCTTAACTTTTTAAAACATGTTTACGAAAAAAACAGTAGAAAAAAGAAAAGCAATAAAGAAAAATAGGATTAGGGAAATGATGCCATTTTCAAAATCATAAGGAGGTAGCGAGGCTATTCACCTAAGACTTGAAGAATAATTTAGTTTAGATGGTTATTAACATAGCATAATTGAAACCATGAAGGACAACGACATCCACTTTAAAAGCATAAGAGATAATAGTGCATATTTATCAAATCACATGAGGTACTAGTGCAATCAACTCAAAAAAAAGACTCGTTTTCTTTTTGGGACATTCCGAAAAAAGTCATGTCTTTTCCTTTTTAATTCTTTTGAGTGATTCACAATTTTTCCCTCTCATCTACATTACTTTTAAGTTTCATGTACACATTTTTAATTTATTTTTCTTAAATTCTATACCAAGTCAAATTGAGAGTCTTTTTATGACGGAGAGAGTATAAAATTGGATAGAATATATATTTTATTGAACTTCTAGTAGAACTAAAGATATACTTCCTCCATTCATATTTAACTGTTTCTTTTACTTTACGTGCCAAGCATTTGACTAACTATATATACAAATATAAATGAATTAAAATATAAAAATTATATCAAATTATTGGTATTGAAAAATACTTTAAATAAATTATTTTTAATATTTTTGCTAATACATTTTAAATATATTGTTAGTCAAATTTTAAATTCAAAAAGCGAACTGAACCGTTAAATAGAAATGAAGAGAGTACGGAGTAACGAATTATTTAACCATCAAAGTGGGATGCACCATGACTTCATAACCCACTAAATATTCCTTTCGTTACAAAATGTTCATCACATTTCGAGCAACGTTGCAAACATCATCTCTTTTAGAATTATTTTATTTATAAATTGTGAAAAAATAAAAAATAAGAATTATATCATTGAAAAGTACATCAAAAGTTATACAAAATAAAATTCAACAAAAATATTTTATTTTATCAAGTGATCAGTGAAAAGAAAGCAAACAAAAATTACTAAAAAGGCAAAATAATAATTGTGATAATTTTTTTAAGACGGAAGCAATATTTCACATGTACCCAAAGTTTCATACAATATTTGATAAAACAAAAATGGTGTGATACAAAAATATTCAAATTTATCCTTCACATTCCAAATTTATTGGTGCAATCATATTTGTAAAGGATAAATTATTAATTTTGAGACTACATTAACATACATCAATTGACAATTAAGCATACTCTAAAAATAATTCATACCACTTGTCCACTTGATGGGTAAAAAAGTAAAATGAACGTATAACAAGAGGGGCATGATCGTAAATTCGGCGCTTCGCGAGGCACTAGTATAATTGGTACGAAGTATTCGTTATTAACAAACTTAAAAACTAATTTCAGCGCCAGATTTTCGTATACTTAAGAGATAAGGACATATCTGTCATTAGATAATCCCGAGCCCCATTTTGGTCTTTTCACACTAACCCTCTCTCTCTATCTTTACCATCTCTCCTCTCTCTCTCTCTCCTCCACTCGCTCACTCTCTCTCACAGTTCATCTCTCGCTTTCTTTTTCTCTCTCTCTACAAAATGGGTTCTCGGACCGGGTCACACCAGCTGAGCAATGGGCTTTACGTGTCTGGCAGGCCGGAGCAGCCCAAGGATCGGCCTCCGGCAGTCGCGTCACGCGCGGTGCCGTACACCGGCGGCGACGTCAAGAAGTCGGGCGAGCTGGGGAAGATGTACGGAGTTGCCTTGTCAAGTGGGGAGGTTGCGGGCCCACCGCCTCCATTGAAGCCCTTCTCCAGAGCTTCTTCGTCTTCTCAGCACAACAGTGCTACCCTCAGATCCGGGCCGAGCTCCGGCGAACTCGGCCACAAATCCATCAACTCCGGCCCGATCTCGAAGAAATCGTCGTCCTCTTCCTTTTCCGGCCCAATCATGACTCCAATCCAGCCCACCGGGCTCATCACTTCCGGTCCGTTGGGGTCCAGCGCCGGCAGGCGCTCCGGCCAGCTAGAACCGCCGTCGGTACCTTCGACTAAAGTACACTACGGCGCGGCTGTTACTAAATTGGGGGAGGAGATAAAGCTAGGGTTTAGAGTGTCGAAGCTCGCCGTGTGGGTGTTTCTAGTTCTGATAGTAATGGCTCTGGTAGTAGGGGCGTTCCTGATGGTGGCCGTGAAGAAATCGATGGTCCTCATTGCACTGGCCGTGATTCTAGCTCCAGCAATGGTGCTGTTGATATGGAATTTCACTTACAAACAGAGAAGCTTGATGGGATTTCTGAAAAGATATCCAGATGCCGAGCTCAGAGGTGCGGTTGATGGACAGTTCATCAAGGTCACTGGGGTAATTTCACTACCTTTATTCCCATCTGTCTACCAACATTGTATCCTTTGCATGTATATTAACATGAATATTTGTATGTTTAAGCTTGTGGAGTGATGTTTAGAGACCTTAACAACTTTTGTTCAATCTCACATGTATATCCACATGATTACATGTGATTATTTGGATGAATTCCATGTTTTCCTTTTTCATCTGACTCAAAAGTCAAAACAAATTCCTACATTTCTTTAAGTTAGGAATTTTATGGTTTCTATTATTTCTCTCTTAATAACTGTAATTTTGTTTGGCATTAGCTTTGGGCATTTAGTTTCAGCATTTCAAAAATATTATCCAACTTTAGTTTTTAGTGTTAGCAAGTTTTCAAAGTTAAAATGTTGTTCCTAAACAAAGCCTGTGTCGCAGCCAATGCTGAATTCTTTTGCAGGTTGGAAGGAGTTTGTTTTTGTTGTAAAATGGATGCTTTTCTAGTCGGGTTGGATTGTGTTTGTGTTTGTGCTGCATTTAGTATGCTAGTATTAACCATTAGTCTTACTAGCTTTGTGAAGTTTTAGAGTTGTGTTTCTTAATATGTTTAAAAAAATCAAAGAACCTATTATAGTTTTAAAACAAAACCTGATATGACCTAGATAGCTAAAAAAAGATATAGCCCTATAGGGTTGGAAATGATCATTTCTTGGCTCATTCTTAGCATCTCAGAAAGAGCTAACATGCAAAAGAAATATTTTGTAGATATTCTATACAAATAGAGTGCCGGTGATGAGAGCAGATCGGCATGAGTGACAGCAACATATTGCGCACCCCAGTTTTTGGGGGTTGCTGTTTGCTATGAATAATGTGCCAATATGCTAATCTGAGGCATCTAATTATTAATGTGATATGGGCCCATGGTTGGCTAGGAGCCCTTGGTATTTTTAATTTGTAAATTTTAATATTAGTATTAGTCTCCTATTGGTATTGGTGTTGGTATTTTTTCCTTCCTAAAGTTTCCTTTTTTAATTAAACTTCTTCTTCCAATGCTTCAATTTTGTCTCCTCAAATGACGGGTCCTCACAAATAGCAGTTAGGCTCTTGCCAAATATGTACCTATACACAAACTTGTCACATTAGACGTTCTTTGACGTTTAGGAGGTTTGTTATTCATTTTGTTGATCCAAATGTTTTTGCGTGTAGATCGTCACATGTGGAAGTAGCCCTCTAGAAACTTCTTTCCAGAAGATACCAAGATGCGTATATGTTTCCACAGAGTTGCATGAGTACAGAGGATGTGGTGCCAAACCTGCAAATTCAAAACACTGTTTCTTTTCATGGGGACTAAGGCATTCTGAGGTTTGTTTGCTGTACACTATGTGTGGGAATCTCTGCATCCAAACTCCAGTGTCTGTTTTTATGTAAACCTGCTTGATGTTTCTGAGTTTTGTTACTTATAGGCTACTACATTCTTTCAAGAAACATAATATTTTCATCCCCAGCTTGTGCGAACTAAAGTGTGTTCTTTCCTCTAGTTTTAGCCCTTGTTTGGTTCAAAAGAGAGAATATGAGGAGAAATGAGAAGAGGAAGTGATATTATACAAGAATATGTATNCTAAAATCGTGATTGGTTGCATGGAGGAGTCAGTAGATATTGGTATTTTACAAGAACATGTAACCATGTTATACCTGATATTCTTTGTTGTTGTAATGAAAAATCTATTCATGTATTATGTATTTGCAAAGGAGTAATAATGTGAACTAATTTTGATGCAAAAGTAGAAATAAAATCAACATTAACTTTCCTCCCCCAACCAAAATCCTCTGACTAAACAAAGACTGAAAGAAGATGTTTTGCTCTAATGTTCTAAATTTCATCATTATTGTTTTTCTAGTTTAGCTTCTAGTTCTTTTGGGATTCCTGAGGGCACAAATGGATCTTCTACAATGATGGAGTTACTTTGTGGAAGATCCAGATCACTTCATGCCATTATGAGGTGATTTGGATCCTCCACTCTGTAACACTCCATTGTGTAGTGTGCAGAGTCATTGCAAAGAGCCCTCTCACCAACACGTGTAAACATGGCGAAATATTTTATATCTTGGTTTTCAAGTATTTATGAATTTGTTGTGCTTCTTTTCCTCAAGCAGAAATATGTGGCCGACTTTTATATATCAGACTACCGAACTGGGCTAAGAGCTCTAGTGAAGGCAGGTCATGGAGCCAAAGTTGCCCCATTTGTCAGCTCTTCAACTGTTGCTGACATAACAAAGGGCAATAAGGATTCATCCCCAAATTTCTTGCAGTGGCTTGCAGACCGAAGCCTTTCGAGCGACGACCGTATTATGCGCCTCAAAGAAGGGTAAGCTAAACATGATTGCTCTCTCTCTCTCTCTCTCTCTCTCTCTCTGCATCTATTGAGTTTGATTGATTGATTCTAATCTAAGAAAATGGTATGCCGTGGGTTATTGAGTATTTGAGCTTATAGGGTCATTAGTGGTAATTACTAAACCAACAAAAAACAATAGTAGCTTATTTCTCAAGTGCTAGGACATAACTTTTCAAACAAGAGCTTATCTTTTTAGCTACCAAAAAGAACTTTTACTCTTTTAGTGTGCGCGTGCAATCTTATTTGCAACTTATGCCCTATTTTAAAATGCATACTCCAAACAAGCTATCAGTTCCATTTGGTAAATGGGATGAGAGCTAGACATGAACTTATGCGCTATTTTATGCGCCTCAAAGAAGGGTAAGCTAAACATGAACCCAACCTTTTTTCGCCGCGTGCTTTTACTTTGTTTGTTCTACTGTGAAACCATATGCACACACCACCCTCCCCAGACACTGCTTTTTGTGAAATGTTACTGGGTTTGTTGTTACGGGTACTTTTGCTCACTCCATATTTAGCTGGTGTGGGACGACTGACTTGGTGGCTCTCCTTGTATTGTATTGTATTGTATTGTATGGGGCCCCCAGTTACATCAAAGAAGGAAGCACGGTGAGTGTGATGGGGGTCGTGAGGCGGCACGACAACGTGTTGATGATCGTCCCGCCACGAGAACCGGTTTCGATGAGCTGCCAGTGGTTGCGGTGCATATTCCCGACCTACACCGAAGGGTTGATCTTGACTTGCGACGAAGAAGGTCAGAGCGACGACGTAGTTCCTGTATAGATCAAAAAAAATTCAAGATTTGGGAGAGGGAGACCTTTGAGGGTTCTCACAAGTGTGCATAAAATGAAGAAGAAGAAGAAGAACAAGGAGAGGATGGAATGGAGAAAGAAAGAAAAGAATATATGTCCATTCATTCCTTTTGGTGCTCTAATGAGCTTTCCACTGAGCTGACATTTTTTTATCTTTTAATTTTTAATATTTAATTTAGCCACGTCGTGTAAATAATTTTTTTTTTCTACTAAGCTGTTTGAAATTACGGATTTACCCTTTTCCAGCCAGATAGAATCTGCTAATGTCACATAAAATTTTTTAAATATGTACGGAATTTTGGATTGTGCAATAATGTGAAATTTTTCGGATTTTGGCCATTTATTACCGTAGTCTTTAGTTGTGCCCTCTTCGTTCTTATTACTCCGTACTTCCTTTCACTCAAAACAAAAGATAGGGCTGAGCATGGTACGGTATGGTACGGTATTTAGCTCGTACCGATACCGTACCAAATATTTCGGTTCGGTATGAAATTTTACTCCGTACCGATCCCGATCTCGAAATATCGGTTCGGTAGGTTCGGGATGGTTCGGTATCGGTTTCGGTACAAATCGGGATGAATATACGTACCTACTTTACACCTTAAAACTTAACAACGCCCATTTATTTTTGAAAATTAAAAGTGAATTTATATAAAAGAAACATGAAATTTTAAAAAAAATGAATATTTAAATGCAAGCGATGCGTATCAAAACTTAGTTTATATTTCATAAACTAAAAAAATGAACGACAACAAAGGAGTATATTGAATCTTTGTGAATACTTTTATGTTCATACACAAAAACTAAAACTCAAATAAAAATACTCTGTATAATTTACACATAATAGAACTTGAACCAATTTTTTTTTTAAAAAAATTATTATTTAGTGAAGGAATATAAAAATATTACTCCGGGATATTATTTTTTATAATATTTTAGTATATATGTTCGATTCGGTATTTTCGGTATGGGAAGTCACCTCGTACCGTTCCCAAATACCGTACCGACCATTCGGTTCGGTACGGTTCGGTTCCTTCTCGGTACTTTTTCGGTTCGGTATTTTTCGGTTTGGTATTCTCGGTTTTTTCGGGAAATTTCGGTATCGGTTCGGTACTTGCTCACCCCTAACAAAAGACATAAAAAGTACTTTATTCCAATTGAAATCAAATTTTCATGGTTAAAGTTATTTTTAATACCGAATATAATTTAAATTGTATAGTTTTATCACATTTTCTTTTGTATTTCCTTCACTCCACTTTAAATTGTCTATGTTTACAATGACTCATTGTAATTACTTTCAAATCATTTTATTTGGAAATTGAGATAAAATTTGAAATAAAAATTGAGTATATACAAAGTATTTAAGAGTTATATTAAAAATTTTACAAAACAAAAAGATGCCATGACTAATAATTTATTAAATTTGTCATGAAATTACTCCGTAATAAAGAAAGTAAATAAAGTTTGATTATGTAAGTAGTAAATATGTAATTTAATTTGGAATGAAAATAATAAAAATTTTAATGTATTTTTTTAAAAAAACTACTAATATATTTTTGGGTGCAGGAAGTTTGGTACAGAACTGAGGGCAACTTCCCGACAGTGGTCTAACGATATTGAGGCGAAGTGGTTACATGATGAGCTTCTGCCACCGCCAGGGGGAGGCTCCGGCGGTGGTAAAGAATCAGCAGAAGGGGCAGGACAGTCACATTTGCAGCAATAAAATTTGACAGTTTTCATCACATTTGAGCAGTCACTCTGAATTTATTTTAACTTGAGCAAATGAATCATCTCTTCCAGTACAAAAACATTGTAATAAGTACTACTAGTAAACAAAACATTACAATTTTAGCAAAGTGCAAGTTACACCCCGATAATATTCTGTCACGTGTACAAAACGTTTCTTCTTTCTTTTCTTTTACAATTGTGTACGCGACACGATATATTATTAGGGGTGCAATTTGCACTTTGGAGGGTGCACCCGCGACCAGTGCGATTAGAAAGGGTCTCTCTCAGAGCCTTGAAGGCATTCCTCCGGCAACAACCAAAGTCTCTCCGGTTATATAAGCGGCATCGTCAGATGCCAAAAACGCTGTGGCTGAAGCCATGTCTTCCGTCTTTCCCAGCCTATTCAGAAGCGTCTTCTCCACGAGAGAGTTCCTCTACAAAACAACAAAGAATTGTCAAATAAACCAACTCAACCAACCACAAGTTCCAAGAATGTTTTTAAGAATTAACCTAGGGGTACACCAACATGGGGTACCCCATATGTACACCAAGCCAACACAGACACAAAAAATCTGTGCTGCACAGACATTGTGTGTCTTGTGTTGGCTTGGTGTACAAATGAGGTACCCCAAGTTGGTGTACCCCTAACATTGCCCTATTTTTAATATCTAACACACCCATCAAGTTCGAACTTGTGACTTCTGGGTTCAAGAAAACTCTAACACCATGTCAAGAGACCAACTAAAACACAAGCTCAACTTGATAATTGTAGACCCGTGAATGGTTTTTTGCTACAACACTGATGACGACTTACCATCTCATCTGACTTTGTTAAGAACTCAGCAAAGTGAGTGGGGACGAACCCCGGTGCTACACAGTTAACGCGAGTATTTGGGGCCATTTCTGCTGCAAGAGCCTGCCAGTTCACACACAATTTCATTTAACTGGAAAAAAAAAAGAAGGAAAAAATTACCGGACACAATTTAAATATAAACACTTAATCCGTACCTTGGTAAGTCCTAAAAGAGCAGTTTTGGTAACTCCATACATAGACATTCCTGCTGGCGGGTTGAAGGCAGTGATTGAAGATATTAAAACAACTGATGAGCCTTTTTGGAGGTGAGCAACTGCATCCTGTTGGAAGGAACGGCCGAAAAGTCAATAAGTTATTGCATTGTAACAATTCGAATGCCAATGAAACTTTCTGTGAAGATAGATTGGTCAAAGACTTCAGCTCACAGACTATATGTTTGTATTTGGGGAAAAAATCATATCAATACTTTCAAAATTTTGAAATTCTACAAGAATATTCTAAGATTAAATAATTTACCACTAGTGCTCCTTGAAACTTGACATATTTACAACAACACTCCAAGATTTCATATTGATCACGCCTCAAATAAAAAAATGGGGGATCCATGTAACCTAAAACTTCTTTTGGAGTAATATTGTAAAAATATTGAATCTTTTGAGAGCACCGATGATAATTGTACAATCTTGAAATATTCTTGTACAATCTCAAATTCCTGAGGACATTGCCATAAATTCCTCCTATTTTATGATCCAATGTGAGATATAGTACAATAACATTTCAGGCTACATGCTACAATGCCAGCTTGGCAAGACTGGTAGCCCAATAATTACTTCATCTGTCCCAAAATTAACTTCTCACTTTACATTTTTGGTTGTCCTATAATCAATTTCCCATTTCCCTTTTTTTGGTCAATCTACATATCTATGGAGCCAAAATGATTTTCTTTCATTCTTTATCTCCGTGTCATTTCCACTTTTAAAGATAATTTTGGGATGAAAGGAATATAAGTTTGTACTTAATCAACGCGGGATTTATCCGAAGAAGGATATCGTTATTGAGTCTTTGTTGTAGTAAGAGTATTTGGACTTACTTGCAATAAGAGTATAGAGGCTTTCACATTGATATCCCATAGCTTGTCAAGGATAGACTCTTTGGTTTCTAAAATTGAATCCACAGAAGGGTTGGCTGCTGCATTGGACACAATTACATCTATCCTTCCATATTTCTGAGACAAAGACAAAAAAAAGACCATAAATTTCCCTCTTATGAATTCAATCAGCTAAAAACCACCACCGCCAACAACAACAAACTCAGTTGAATCCCACACAAGGTAGGGTCTGGGGAGAGCATGTGTACGTAGACTTTATCCCTACTTGAAAGTAGATAGATTGTTTCCAAGAGACCCCCAACTCAAATACAGCTCAAAACCAAGTTACAATGAACTTTGAGTTGAATGATATGCTACATAAAAAAATAAAAAAATATATTTTTTTACTTGAATAGGATGCTCCATAAAAAACCAACTACTTTCATCTGGAATTAGTCATCCACTTTCTTGTTTTCATTTATCCGGAACTAAATGACCACTTCTCGTATTGAATAAAGAACTTAAAATGAATTGTCTAAAATATCCTAGAGATAGAATATGAGTGTTGTTGACATGAATCAATGATAAACTCATTTGAAGGATGCATTTGAAAATACAAACTCATTTCATAAAAACATGTTTTTTTAAAGAAAGTAGACACCTAAATACGGACAGTTAATAGCATGCCTTAGCAAACCTAGCCGGAATAACAGATGATTCAACAATGGATATGGTTTTAAGAACCACACAGCTAGCACCTGGAGTGTCTTCTCTATCAAATTCTTCCTGTGCTGCGAGTTCGAAACATGGCAAACAACTCCCAAAACCTCAATTCCTTTCCCTCTTAGCTTCTCAACTGCTTCGTCCACATTTTTCTGCAAAAATCAGACATGAATCAATCATGATCACACTACCTTCTCATCAAAATCCACACTCCAAACCGCATAAAACCTAATAAAATTCCAAACCACACAAAAAAATCCAACAAATCTCGATTCAGACAAACATACTCGGCCGAATTGCAGGGCCGTTTGGAAACAAGTATCTCAGACTGGAATCCGATTGGGAACTGGGTTTGTAATCGTTGTTTCAATTTTGAAGATTGGGTTTTATGAGCACCTGCTTGCGAGAAGAGATGACGAGAGAGGCGCCCTCGAAGCCGAGGCGTTGAGCGATGGCGAAGCCGATGCCCTGAGTCGAAGCCGTGACTATTGCTACCTTCCCCACGAATCGCTTCCCTGTCTTCTCCGCTTCCATTTCTTTCACTTCCGTCTGCAACTTCAATGGCAGGAACCGTTCGTTTCTGCGCCGTATGAGTTAAAGAGAGAAATCAAGAAACCATGTCCTTCCAAAAAAATATTTACCGTACTTCCCCTCTAGCTATCTCTTACATTTTTTCAAGAAATATGAAACATATTTCACATAATTCTAATCAAATCAGATCATATAAAGTGAACATAAGCATGCGCTTTCTTCAGCCTTTACATTATATTTTTAGTTATTAGGAAGTAGTTTTTTATTTAAATCAAATTAGACCAGATCCATTCAAATCAGATAAAAGGGTGCTACTAACGTTGTCATTAAATTTTTGTTTAATTTTGACTCTTTACAATTAATCATTTTACATAAGTTCTTTAGATAACCAAATCAAAAACATCTTTCACCATAATTCTAATCAAATCAGATCAGATCAGATCATATAAAGTTAACATGGCCTAAGCATGCGTTTTCTTCAGCCTTTACATTATATTTTTAGTTATTAGGAAGTAGATTTTTATTTAAATCAAATTAGACCAGATCCATTCAAATCAGATAAAAGGGTGCTACTAACGTTGTCATTAAATTTTTGTTTAATTTTGACTCTTTACAATTAATCATTTTCAACCTTTGACTTATAATTAATTAAAATAATATTTTAAAAATATTTTATAAAATAAAGCTAATAAAATCATTTTTGTATCAATATATAAAATCATTTTGAGTAAATTTTATAAAAGGTCCCCAGTTATTGGCCGTTTTACATATTTAGTCCCTACATATCAAATATTACTAATTTAGTTCCCAATTATTATATATTCATTTCCACGAATGATCCTTTGACATTCCGTTAAGAACGTGAATAAAATTGTAAATTAACACTCCTTTCTCTCCTCAATTAAGCTTCCTCCCTCCTCTCGTACTCCTTTCCAAAACCCGTCGCTGAGTTTGAAGCTTTGAACCCAAAACCAAAATGATCACTCTTCTCTCAATTGTTTGTCTAACTGGTGGTACCCTAATTCGAAATGAGTAACCTTCATGGATGAGTTTTAATGTTTATTTTATTTGCAATTTCTTAAGACTACCCAATAAAACGCATCCATAAAGCTTATTGATTTTGATTTTAGGTTCCACCAGGAAAACTAATAATTGAGAGAGGAATGTTCATTTCAGTTTTGGGTTAGAGCTTCAAACTCAGCGACGAGTTTGGGAAAGAGTACGAGAGGAGGAAGGAAGCTTAATTGAGGAGTGAGAGAAGTATAAATATACAATTTTATCTATGTTCTTAACAAAAACGTTAACAAAGGACCATTCGTGAAAAATGATATAATCATTGGGGACTAAATTAGTAATATTTGATATGTAAGGACTAAATATGTAAAACGAACTATAACTGAAAACCTTTTATAGAATTTACTCAATCAGTTTTATTGTGGTCAAAGTTTTCTAATTTTGATAAAAAAAAGTCAAAAGTAAACAAATATTGTACGATGCAGGGAATAAAAAGTAAATAATTTTAAAATTATTATTATTATAAATAAGAATAATAGTAAGTTTTATTTAATCATATTTAACATTATTACTGAGTATTATTTAATTGTATGTGACATAATAAGAATAATACGGAGTAGTATTTATTATTTAATTATATGTAACATTAAATAATGTAACATAATTTAAAAACTACTGTAGTAATTATTACAAAGTATCTAATCATAGACAAAATATTAATATTTTTTTCCAGCATTTTTCTGTCTTGATTTGATTCGATTCTAATAAAAATTAAAAAGTTAGAAAAAATAAGCAAAACAAAAGCATGCAACTTTATGTGAGCCCAACTTCTCACAAACATTCACAAATACTAACACTATTCTATGCCTATGTCTAAGAAGTTAGAGAACTGAGAAGAAGGATGATGAGAAAGATGGGATCAAACTTGAGGCACCCCATAAATAAAGATTTTACTCTCAATTCTCAAACAAGACTCTCATCTTAGACTATCCTTTTGGATTGGATATAAATATAGTTCAATATTGGAAATAGTGGGACTCCTACCTTGCTTCTTCTTCTTCTTCTTCACATGGGCATCAAATTCCAATTCCAAGAAGCAATCAAACCTCTCTTGATCTGCCTTTTATTCTATTGATTATAAAATCTCCAAAACCGGCACCGATATCCACGATTCTTGACCCGGGCTTTATCTCTACCTTCTTAATTTCTTCCAAAATGTCTCCCAACCTCTCAGCATTGTCCTCACAAACCCGACCGATAATTCCATCCCAAGTATCAATATGCACTGTGTTTTGATGCTTCAACAGTACCTCCACAATCTCACAAGCTTCGTCGATTTCGCCAAGGCCACAGAATCCCATTATCAGTGTATGAACACGCGAAAAATGCAGAGAAAACCCTTTGGACACCATCTCATTCACATAACCTTTAGCCCTTTCGTACATTCCTTGATCGCATAATGCTCCAACCAGTGTTCTATAAGACACCAGATTGGGTAGGCATCCATTTTCAGACATTTCCTCAAGAACCTTACAAGCATCAAGAGCGCGGCCTTCTCTACAAAACCCTAAAATAACAGTGTTATAATGAACTATGTCAGGGTTACAGCCCTTCACCTTCATTCTACAGAGTAGTTTGTAAGCTTCTCTAAGTTGTTTCTTCCTACACAAGCTGTTTAACAAAGTGGTGTAACAAAAGGTATCCGGAACAAACCCTTTGTTAAGCATATCATCAAGCAAATCGACGGCTTTATTCACTTGGCTCTTTCTACACAGCCCTTGTATAAGGATCCTATACGACTCCACATCCGGCAAAACATCTCTTTCATACATTTTGTCCAACAATGAGCAGGCGATGCTCAAATCATCATTCAAGCAGAAGGCTCTCATAAGAATGTTGTAAGATGTGGTGTTGGGCAGGACTCCATATCAATGGGCAGATTTAAAGAGGTCAAATGCGGGACGAATGAAATCACTGTGGGCAACAAGGATCTCAAGAATTTGGTTCAAGTGTCTACGGCGAGGTTTCATGTTGAACTCCAAGATTGTGTAAAAGGTTTTGAGGGCTTTTTCAGGATTTCCGGCATCACCATAGATCTGGATAATGTGTGAGAATAGTGATGGGGAAATGGTGAACCGGTGGGACTTTAGAGAGTAAAGAAGATGCTCCATGGGTGAGAAGTAGTGAGCACGGCCGAGTTTGATGATGAGGGAGTGGAATACAGCATAAGAAGGCTGGAAATTGGGATGTCGAGAGGCCAAATCAAAGATTTCTTTGGCAAGAAGTGGATCCGACTGTGACGCAATCAGTTTATGGATTCGGGTCGCGGGCCCAGTTGAGGAATGTCGTTCACGTTCCTCTATATGTCGGTCTTGAACTGGTTGGTCCTGACAGTAAGGTGAGGTTGAAGAGAAATATGCACATGATTGCGTAACTTTTGCTCGGTATTTGGCATCATTATTGGTGACATTTAAGAGACAAAGAAGAACCCGTCGCATCTCAGCTCAAATTTGTAGAACAGTTGTTTCCTCACCACCACATGCTCAAAGGGTCATGAGGAATCCGGAAACAAGCTGTAAGGTAATATTTATACTAGCCAGCAAATACGAAGACAACATAAAGTCACCCTGTACAGCACCAAAGACAACAACAACAACTGGTTCAAGATTAAAAAGCCAATAAAGAAAAGCAAAGCCAATACAAGTTTCTTCTCAGAAGCATTTCTCCACATATCTGAAGGTATTATACCAGTCCTCCATGCATTAGCACTATCTCATCCCTGTCCTTAGGTTTCAAAAACTAGTTCAAGATTATAGCTTTCGTAATCTCATAAAACTGAAGATGAACTCTACCAACGCTCACATTAACTGGTTCATAATCATTCTTCCATTGTCCAAGATTCATGATCTGGTGAATTCCAGAAGATTTTGTTCTGTTCTAAAACTCTTAATTGAGCAATGAACACCACATGATTTTATGAATTGAATGTTGCACATGATTTTGTAACACATAAAATTAGCCAAAGCAAACAAAGCAAGTTATTCACATCCAGAAGTAGGGTTAGGGTGAGATATAATCATACACACATGTCTTGATTTTAACCCTAGGAATTGAGACGTTGTTTCTCTGGTTTTAGGGATTCATACATTGTTTAAGTTCTAACAAATCTTAACTGGATACCAGTGATTTGTGAGCTTTGCAGGAAGAAGAAGAAGAAGAAGAAGAAGAAAAAAAAAACTCAAATTTGTGTTTGGCTCGGAAATGAAATTAGGGTTCACCTTGTTTGGGAATCAATCTCGAGCGGGCGAGCAGACGTCGGTGACTGGGAACTCTCACTTGAGAATCAGGAACTTCTATGGAAGTGTAGGAAGAAGATGATCCGAGTGGTTCAATTTGAAAACAACAAGACATCAAGGCATCAAGCTATTTTTTGCATAATTGTGGATGAAAAAAAAATCAAAAATAGTCTTTTGACATATTAATTTTTGGGAGAAAGACTAAAGTAGGACTAAAACATTGAAAATATACTAAAATAGGACTTCCATGTTTTTATTCCCGAAATAGGACTTACATTACCAAACATGGTCATATACATTACCAAAAAAGTATAGTAATGTGCACATGTACACTGTCACATTACCACAGTACAAATTCACATTACCACGGTGCAAAGTCCTATTTCAGGAAAAAAATATGAAAGTCTTATTTTGGTTCTTTTCTCTATGTTTTAGTCCTATTTAGGGTGCTTTCTATAATTTTTTGTGTTATTGCTGCTTCTATAATGACCCTAAGAGCATTGGTAATGACAAGTAAAAAAAATAGAATGTCACACGGTGACGTGGAGTATTTCAATCAATCAAAAAAAGTCTCAGCGTGTGATGAGTGAGTGGAGTGACATGTCATACAGTGACAAGTAATTATTTTTGTCATTTTTTACACTTTTGTGACACATTTTAATTAAAAAAAATTTATTTATCTTTTTTTCATAAAAATATTTGCACTTCATTTTTTAAAAAGCCTTTTTTTCTACAAAAATTAAAAAAATAAAAAAAAAAGAAGCATGCCTCGCACAAGACATGCCTTGCGTGGAGGAATGGAGCATTCAAGCATGGCAAAATAAACAAATAGCTTATGTGGCATGGCGTGGCGGGCATTTACCTCGCCACTGCCAAGGCTCGCAGTATTTTTTTTGTAACATTTTCACTTTCTTTATAATAAAAAATGTTCATCTCAACAATGAACGTTTTTTCACCTCGCTCGTCTATAGGTGCATCATGGACAAGTTCGCAATATAATTTTCGAAACTGAAGTGGTTCGGTGTGAGTAATGACAATATGGTAATATGTACTTTTTTTAAATCTTGAGGAATTAAACTAGTTCAGTGACAATTATATCACACATAGGGCATGTTTGATTTTTTTTTTGCATTTAGGATGACTTTTAGTTGTTTTGACCCATTTTAGCGGATTTGACTGGTCAAACCGCCAAAAAGGATGTTTGGTAGTTGGTTGCAAGGGTTGCTTGTTTGAGTCCAAAAAGCCAAAATTTAAAATCTACAGGGAGTAACACTTTGGTTTGGCGGTTGGAAAATAGATTTTTATTATTTGTTGTTGTATGTAATTTTTATGAAAAAAATAAAAAATTATTATTTATTGTGTAATTAAATAAAAAATTGGTATACAAATAAATATATAAAGCATTAACTCAATTACAAAAATCTCATTTCTGTCGTTTAAGTTAATGCTTTATATTAACATTACCTAGATAAAGCATTAACTCAAACAATTTTATCTAGGTACGGTTGTAAACGTGATTTATTATAGATTTATAATTATGCTTATCAACAACAACAATGATATAAGACAAATATAATTTTTTATTTATCACTTTAATATTTTATATTCTTAATAATGTTTTACAATTGACAAAATACATAAAATCGAATAAATAAATTATGATTAGACAAAAGAGAGGAGTTATTTTTCTCTTCTAAAACCCTGAACCAAACATTCCCGCAGGGTTTCTTTTTCCGCAGCTTCCTTCGTTCAAATCGTTTCATCGTTCACGCACTTCATCTGCTCGTCCCAATCTCCACCCTTCGGATCGAGACATCCGCGAATCGAGACTGAAGGTGCTCTTTTATTTTATATACTCCGTATTTATTTATTCATAGATCTATTGTTGCTTTCATGTTGACGAGAGATCGTACACGTTAGAAGAGATCGAGAACGATAACCAACGATACCTTGACTTCTGTTACTCAAATTTCAAAGTGACTGATTTCTGGTTAGGAGAAATCGATAAGGCAATGTCTTATTGATTTCGTTGGAGGTAGAAATAAGAAATTGATTCCTTAGTACAGTATGCAGATGATCTCCATTCACATTGCAATTTCATGACTCAGACTCTGTAGGTTAATCCAAACAAGTATAGTTATCATTGTTTTGAAATGTTAGTTTACATGATTGTGGATGCCAGGACATGGCGATGACCCTTGCTTGGTGTTTATGACACGGCCTTTTAGGGTTGTAGTTTCACTCTCGCTCCTCGCAGTACATGTCACAGTTTGTTAGGTGTCTCTACTTGTTGGGGGTCGAGATACGGTTTTCGTATATCTTGTCCCCTGAATGAGCATAGTCTTCGGCGAGATATACTTGGTTTGCTTGGTTTGGTTACGGGTGTGTAACAGTCGATGCGTGTGTGCAATTTGTGAGATATTGATTCCACCTTATAGAATGTTCATCAAATGCACCCAAAAATTTAATTAGTCCTTTAATCCACAGTGGATTTGTTTGAAGATCAGCTTCATGGCGTCTAGGAATGCGTTGAGGTTTGTGTCGCGTAGGTTCTCTAGTGGAAAAGTGCTCGGCAAGGAGGAGCAAGCTGCAGAAAATGTCTATATCAAGGTGAACCCTTAAGTGTATGCATAGTACTCTCTGCATTCATCTTTTTAATCATTTTTAGTACTCCGTAATTTTTTTTATTTCATGTGTGTTTTTGTTTTCCTTACTTTTTGTGGGATTTTACTAGGTTTGTTGTTGTGTATCTATGTTGCATTTTTTCATAGATGTGCTTGTATAAACTATTGTATTAATGTGCATTGACTCTCATTTGAAAATCTGTATTACTAAAAAGTTTTCATACATGTCATTACAATGGTATTGAATTTGTGTTGGAAATTATGTTTAAGTAAAGCAGACCCACCATTTTAGTTCTTACATAACAGAATTGAACACAAGAAGTTAATTCATTCCTGTTGTTATAAGTTAACCTTCCTCGCATCATTTGGTTCCTGAGATTAGGCAAATAAACATGTTATCATTTGAAATTTCTTTTTCAGCCATATCTCTCTCATATTCTCTATTTTTCTCTCTCTATATGTGTTATTCTCCCTTTTTTCAATGCAGAAAATGGAGCAAGAGAAATTGGAGAAGCTTGCCAGAAAGGTATGCACTTCTCAAATGTTTTACTGAATTATGGGAATGATGCATACCTCCTAAGCTTGATGAGGGGTTATGTATGGTTTTGAGTTCTTGTATGCCCTTGAACCTAAGCTTCCCTAAGATTTTGTGTCGTTCAAAATAGGGGAGGAAACTAGATGTGGTTGAAAAAAATTTGCTTCGTTCTTAGAGTATGGATGAATTTCTTAGAAAGTACTCCCTCCGTTCAACAAAACACTTCCTCTTTCATTTTTTTCTTTTCCACCAAAACACTTACACTTTCTATTAAAAAACCACTTTACCCCTACTTTTTCTTACCCCACCTATCGCATCATACTTTTTCACTAATAATTTATCCATCGCATCTTGCTTTTACCCATCACAACAAGGGCAAAATTGGAAAGTCAACTATGAAGTACAATTTAACCATTCATTATTTTGGTCTTTGGTTAAATTAGGAAGTGGTTTCCCAAACGGAAGGAGTATGTAAAAGTATTGTGTTTGATATGTTTTTTTTAATTACATACGGTGTATTTATTAATCTATATGTTATATGTATATCAATAATAATGTAGACCATTTTTGTGTGAAAAAATAAAAAAGGTGACCTATATTTTAGAATAAAACAAAAAAAAAACCTTACCAAGGGTTGAGGGAGTGAGTTATGAGGGGTTTGGAGGATGTTATAGCTATTTCACTTGCCCTATAGAACTATGAATACTCTACCATTCTTTTGTCTTCTTCTGAGCTTCTTATTCATAAAAACAAAATAAATTATTTACAAAACAATTTGTTTCCACAGGGACCCGCAGCCGAAGAACGGTCAGCTGCTAGCTCAGGCGGTTCAGATTCTGTAACTGATTCCAAACCCGGCGCTCAGGGCTCATCCTCAACATTTGGGGTGTCAACTGACATATACCGCAACTATGGGGTTTTGGCAGGTTTCATAACCGGTGTTGGTGCTCTGGGATGGTATTGGATGTCAAGGGATCCCAAGAAAGAAGAAATTATCGAGTGAATTAAGTTGAAGATTATCTGAATAGGAGCAATCACTTGAAAGCATACGGAATTTGAGGCTCTGAAACAATGGTTCTTGTCTATGCTCTCTGTGTATGGTTTTCTCTCGAACTTCTCTTCCATTTTGCAACTCCATAACTAAAAATGATGTTTTGCCATCGCTCTGGTGAGCACTGTCTCAGTTCATAGCTTTATCCTTAACCTTTTCAAGTGTAAGAGTTTGGTTGGTGCCTGGTGGGATGGTGAATTGGGTTGGATTTGCTTAGTTTTTGGTGGAAAAAGACCTAATGGGCAGATTGGTTTGAATGGCCTTAAAATACATTTACCTTGTTTTTTTGGATTAAATGTGACTTTAGTCCTTGTGACTTTTGGCCGTTTGGTTTTTGGAATGCAACATGAAACCTTAAGTTTTGGTCCTAAAACTTGTGAAACTTGTTGGGTTTTGTCCGTTTCGTTTTGATATCCTAAGGGCACTGAATTACCAGTGACGCCCGCGGGTGTTTTCGATATTATAACGCCACAGGGGCGTGAAACACCGCATCCAAGTGTGTTATCCAGGTGTCAAATGGTCCGCGTCACATGTTTAACAGACGAATGAAGCAATTGATTAACCCCCCCCCCCCCTCTAATGGCTATAATGCCATTACCTCTTTAACAAAAAGTCCTTGCTCTATAAATTCACTCTTTTTTTTTATACATAAAACACACAAATTTCTCTTCTTTCTTAAAAAATCTTCAAGTTTTTATCTAATTTTTTTAAACATGAATTCCTTTGGTTCCTCCGCTCGTTCGGTCTTGAGCCAAACGAATACGCGATGTGGCTTTACCAAACATATGAGAATAATCTGATGTTTTTTTGATGCGCAACCCTCGGTGAATTTGAAGGATTCGGAATCGGTTCCAGAGACTCAACCAAAACCAAGGATATTGAAAAAAGTGCATGCCGGAAGAGTCACAAATCAAAAGCTGATGACTGAGGCGGCACAGTCCATTCAAAAGTAGACACCATAGGAGGAAGTGTTGTTGGCGTCCACGTGGGTTGACGTCTTGGAGCATTCTATGGTTGGTAAAATTATATGCTTTTAATATATATATATGTTCTTTTTTATATATTTGTCTTAAAATATATTTTTTGTTCAACTATATATTTCTTAAAGGTTATGATCAAACGAAGGATGCGGTGTGAGATTGTATCGAGGAGAAGTTCTTTGCGGCGATGAACAAGGACGCCTCTTACCAAATTTGAGACAAACTCACTTCCAAATTGAACCGCATCAACATAAAAGTCGAAAGTTTATCAGAGTTTACGAGGAATACTCTCAGTCCCTGGAAAGTGGGACGAACGATGAAGATGTTCGGCGACAAGCCAACGGCGGATATCAAGACGACGAACACCAAGGCAAAGTCTCTGTTGAGTTGTGGATAGTTTTAAGCCGTTCACTGAAATGGCAACAACAACCCCGAGGCCGGATCATCAAAGAAAAGATCCTCCGCCAAAGTTGATGCTGATTACACTATCAGCTCGTCAGAACAAAGGTCTCCCTTCAACCTAAATGACTTCGATGACGAGGATCTCATTCCACGACCAGTCGGAAGAAAGAAGACAAAATCAGTTGTCTTGGGTTCTCAATGGTCCGACTTTGTTTTCTCGCACGACGATATTAGCTGGGCAATGGTTGAACAACTGCGATTGTTCAATATTAGGGAAGAAGAAAGGGAGAAACGAAGGACAGAGAAGGAAGAACTCGCAATAATGGAAACCAATCTTGATACGTTAACATACTTCAAACGTATGTATTACGAGAGAAGACAAAACGAGATTAAGACTAAATATAATTTGCCTTAGTTTTTTTATTAATGTAATTTTTTTAATTTAATTTTTTTTTCTTGATCGAATTTTTTTTAATGAATTATTGTTGTTGAAATTCAATTAATTAATGAAACTTTAATAATTTAATTTTACAATATGTGTATTAAAAATTTAAAAAAAATAAAGGTTTCATGTTTGAAGCACCTGTTTGAAACCCCGAGACTTCGAACTTATTTCCAATAAAATTATGATGTAAGTTATATGAGAATTAAAGCTGGTGTGACGGTGAGAGAAAGTTTGAATTACGAGACTTCAAACCCCGCTCTAAATCTTGCAAAACATTTTGGTTTTAGTCTGTGCTACTTAATTGTTTGGTTTTGGAACTTACAAATTATAATGAACTAAGTGAAGGGTGATTGAAAAAAAAAAGTTATACGGACTAAATCCAAAATGAGTTTTTGCACCATTTATCGGTGAATATTTTAAAAATTATACGAATTTACCTCACATTTTAAAAATTATACGTAAATCTAGCATAAAAAAATATTGATGCAACACTTTTAAAAATTCGGAAGGCATTGGCACAATTCTTAAAATTCAAGGGGAATTCGTGAAATTTTAGGGATAAATGGTGCAAAAAAAACTCAAATCAAAATATTTTACCATCTATAAGGACTAAAAGTGAAACATGGACACAAAAAAATTAAAACTTTATGAAAATATAAGATTAAGATAGTAATCATAGCATTTTTAAGAGTGAGCTATCGTCCATCATTCTATTTTGAAACTACATTACTTGGACAATATATGACGTAGGAGTGAAGTTTATTAGAAATAATTGAAAATAAATACACCGTATTATAGGACTAAACCGACTAATGTAGATCACTCATTATTATAAACAGTTTTCTTTACGGTCAGTTTGAGGAGCAAAAGTCTAGGTGGTGTAGTTGGTTATCACGCTAGTCTCACACGCTAGAGGTCCCCGGTTCGAACCCCGGCTTAGACACCTTTTTTTCTTTTTGAACCTCATTTGTGCTTTCTCAGAAGTAAAAGTATGTATTTCACGTTTACTTGGTTGGAAGTTATAATGTCTGGGTAGTGTAGTTGGTTGTCAAGTCTCCCACACTAAGGTCCCCGGTTCGAACCCGAGCTTAGACATTATAGTAAATATTTTTTTCCCAACTTAAATTTTGTCTAAAATTAAACTAGCGTTTTTTATTAGTTTAGCATTTTGAACAAAAAATTAATGGTTTGGGTGGTGTAGTTGGTTATCACACTAGTCTTACACACTAAAGGTTCCCGGTTCGAACTCGGGCTGAGACAATGTAGAAAATATTTTTTTACCAATTTAAATTTTGTCTAAAATTAAACTAGCATTTTTTTATTAGTGTTAGCATTTTGAATAAAAATTTAATGGTGAAGATTAACATTGAAAATCCCTCGTAGAGTCGTAGATAGTCTTTCAAACCGTCAACACTAATCTCTATTACTAAACATGTCCATAAACTTCAAAAAATATAATTACCACGCCATATATTCATAGCTCACTAATCACAATCATCAATAATTTATCCCACTTAGCTTGTTACGCCGCATGTGATTAAAATATCCATTTGAAAGAAAACGCAATTAAACACATATTTTACAAATTTATCAGTATTTTTATCATTTGATTATATGTAAGTTGTATATCGATTGAAAATCTTAAACTTAGCGTTCCTAAGCGACGACGTCTTGGCCTTCTCGTTATGAATATTTGTTTTGACACCACATCCATATAAAGCCCTCAACCTGTCCAAAATTGAACATCAATAGTAAATTAAAAGTAACTTTAACCAAATTTCATTAAACACAACAAGAACTTCAATCTCCAACATTGACAATGATAGATTTTATGAGGAGTGATGACAAATGTGTAACAACTAGTTACAATAAAAACGGGAGAATTTCGAGCCTTTTCGAGCTCGTAAGAAAAAGAGAGAAATAAGAGATTAGAGTTTTAATATTGTTTATTGATTGATATTCTACATGAGGTTACGTACATATTTATAAGGAGATGAAAACACCTAACTCTAATAAGATCGTCTTTCTAGCTAGCCATGTCGGTTTAACAAATGCATTATGTAAATAATTTTTGTAAATAAATAATAAAACAGAGAAAACTGATTAAAATCAAGAAAACATTTGAAAAATCTTACGTGGTGCAATTTATACTGGGGTCCACACGATCATGAAGGATGACAACTCTCAAGCGACGGGTTTCCTCCGCCGCCGCACATGACTCTGCCCCGGCCACCGCGCCTCCACGGCAGGGGACGGCGCCGGAGAGGTTTTCCGGCGAGGAAAGCTTGCAGGGAAGGAGAGAGACGGTGACACATTTTTTGCAATGAACGGGTGGAGTTGTGATAAGTGACAACATTATAAACCCCGAAACCCACACTGGGTGTGGGTATCTCAACATTTTTTAAATTTATTTAGTTTAATTTCATTTTATTTTTAGAGAAATAATAATATAAAATTGTTTGTTTACTAGGTTGAAATGAATAAAATGGTGTTTGGTTTTTGAGTATTGATGATATATATATATATATATATATATATATATATATATATATATATATATATATATATATATATATATAGCTTTTTTATTTTAATGAATTGAGAATTATTGAAGTAGTGTTATTCCTTTTATGCCTAAAATGGAGAGTTATTTTTTCACATTTTGCATGCGTGTCTTAGTACAAAATATGATTGAATCAGTGACAGATATTTTTATTCGGTGTTAGTTATATGGGAGTTTTTTTAGATATAACCTTCTGATTGGTCATTTCCAGATAGGCTTTCAGATAGGGCATCGTAGTATGATTGAGTTTATTCTTCAAATACGAGATCTCAAAGAATACATACAAGTGCGTGTGTGAAACCGGTTAAAGTTGCGTTTATGTCATTTCCATTTGAAGACAGAAAGGAGATATAACATGTGAAGTGAGATGGTCTAGTTTAATTTGTATCATAGCGTGAAATTAAATTATTGTACTCCGTATGTGTTTTATAAAATTATTAATAATTTAACTTCAGCAAGTTCAAGGAAGATGTGTAAAAATAAAAAAATATGTAATCAAAATTTGGTTAGAGAAGAGTAAATTATTGATAGTGACATAATTCCTAAAATATTTATGGAATAAAGTAAATACTCCTATAAAGTTTTTTTAGACATCTACAAAAGAAAGGGTAAAGAATTTAATAGATCGGAAGGAGTAATACTTACAATGCTTATTTTAGTATTAATAATAGGGAAAAAGACAGTATTATTAAACATTCAAAATATACCAAAATAGGAATTCTATATTTTTATTCTTAAATAGGAATTAAAATGCATTCACATTAACAATCATGGCTGTGTACGTTACCAAAAAAATATACTCCGTAGTATAATGTACATGTACAGTGTCACATACACATTACTAAAATGTGAATTCTTATTCAGTGAATAAAAATATGATACTTTTATTTTGATAT